ATCCGAGGTTGAACTCGACGAGTACTTGGCTCATTTCAAAAGTTTAGCAACGTTCAGGAACTTGTTTTGTAAAAAAAAAAAAAAAAAAAAAAAAAAGGGAGGAGGTGGCCTCTTCAGCTCAGAGTGGGTCGCCTTCTAATTCACCATCCACCCTAGCCACCCTTTTTTTGGGGGCGGGGGGGAGCAACACCTGCTGGAAGCGGGGTCCAACGTCCCATTACAAAACCTGCAAAACACAGCATTTATAGAAATTACAGAGTTTCCACACACACATCAGCATTAATTGCCCTGTCAACAAGGGGATTAACTGCCTGAGTGCTTCAAGAGGAGTGCCTGTGACCGAGGAGAAAAGTCTTCGACCCTTCTCACCACCGAGGGTGCCAGATGAATATAGAGGGTGACAGATAAAACTTGACTACCCTAGTCAGAGGGTGCCAGATAAAACTTGACTACCCTAGTCAGAGGGTGCCAGATAAAACTTGACTACCCGAGTCAGAGGGTGCCAGATAAAACTTGACTACCCTACCCTAGTCACCAGTAGCAGCTAAATATAGGACTTGGCCTGGCTTCGGTTGGCTTGGCTTGGCTTGGCTTGGCCTGCTTCAGACCGGTATCGGTCAGCCAGTATGTCATGCAGTGCCACACTCTGTCACCTGTCAGAGCCAGTAGGAAAATGATCTCCATGGTTCTGATCTGATTTATTTTTTTTCCCCGAACCAACCTGATCTGATCAGGTTTGATGTGATCAAATCTGATGAAAGATGACATGGGATCCGTCCACGACTCCATGCTAAATCCGATCGAATTTGATCCGAACGGCGGACCAACGGCAAAAACTGCCACACACAAACACACACACACACTTATAATGATTCAACCAATCAATCACACCCCCCCCCTCTCAGACTGAACATTTGCCCTATCAACAGTGCAACACACACACACACACACACACACACACACACACACACACACACACACACACACACACACACACATGCAACCCATACACCGATTGGCCTATTGTGCCATTCTAGAGTAGCCTGCTCCAGCGACGAGTATTTAGAACCCTGTGATGTCCGTCATATAACACTGTGAAGTTTGTCATATCTTATTCTCCGTGGCAGCTCTTCTTCTTCTTCTTCAAGCTGGAGGTTCCTTCTTCATCCTTGAGCTGACGCTGCTTATTCTGAGAGTCTCCTGGCTCAGTGCTGGAGCATCTGAGGTTTTCTGGACTGCGCTGGCTGATAAAATAGTCGGAGGGAGGTGCAGGTTGTCTGCGGGAATCGGGGCTGGGCACTGTGTTTTGGGATGTGCGCCATGGCTGGCTGTGAGGATGATGATGTTGAAGGGAGGAGGAAGACTCTAGAGTCTTGAAGCTATGTTCTGAGTTTGTTCAAGGTGGTCTTACTCTCGGTTGAGATTCTTGGGTTCGTTGTGGTTCTGGTTGAGCAGGAGGGAGGCGAGTGAGTATCAAATGCTATCAATTGATTTTTATTTATTTATTATTATTATTATTATTATTATTATTATTATTATTATTATTATTATTATTATTATTATTATTATTATTATTATTATTATTTTAACAGGGCCTTATGGTCCTGGCTCCGTTCTATTCTGGGGAGCATCAGTCCGGTTCCTATTCCACCGGCAAGTCAGAATATACATTATATTGAAATTCACACACGCTTCCTTCCGTTTGGCCGAAGGACCCCTGAACAGCATTGATTGCTCCACCTTGGTGTAGGATTGACTGTCAGCTTGCCTTGTCCCTCTCTTTCCTCTCAGATCTGGAGGCCAGATCTGCCAAATAGTACTATGCCACCTAGAAAGAGCTCATCCTTTGTCCCTGCTGGCCTGCGTCCTCCCCACTCATCTGCCCTGCCCGTGAGGCGTGCTATCCCCTGTCCCATTTTATCTGTCCCCCTTTCTTTAAATCATCACTAAAACCCTGAACCTTAAACCCTCAACCTGTGTACCCATACTCCAACATCCCTTTGAGTCAACCTTTTACCCTTGTTCTGGTCTTTTGGTGCCATCCGTCCATCTCCATGTTATCCATCCATAGCTGTAGTAGTTTAGGCTTGTCAATCCCCCGTGGAAGTCTGATCAGGAGGTGTTTTGCCCGTCCACAGTTATCTGTTGTTGCTAGCCTCTTCCTGAGTTTGAATTGTGTCATTCTTTCCGGCAATTGCAGTCATCTCGTGTTCAAGAAGTGATTGATCCAACCGCCGTTAACCACTGTTGGAAGCTTCTTTCTGGCGCTGAGTTATGCCACTCTTTCCAGCAGATACGGTCCTCTCGTATGTCTGCAATCTTGCTGTTTAACAACCAATTCTTGTAAAACCTCAGTCTCTCGTCTTCTGTCCAGGCTTGCTTGGTCTTCCGCCATCTGCAAAGGGTCTCGGCTTGTTTCATCGTTCTGGTTTCCACCCGAACCTTCTCCCGTGGTCTGGACTGTCCTTCAATTGTTCTGCTGCATCTCTCTTTCCTTTTTTTTATAACAAAAGACAAATCGCAATAGATGAAAGAAACTGCCAGCCTGTCTCTAGGTTGCATTTTGGAGCCAAAAGAACTGACCATCCTACCCCCAGGTTACCACTACCTAACTTCTCCCTCCCCTCTCACTTTCAATCTATCCTCCCCTTAAACCCTAAACCCTAGTGCTATCGTTTCTCCTTCCGCTCTACCCCTCTATCTGATTATGTCATAATAAAAGATATATAAAAAATACCCACTCACGCTTCCTTCTGTCTGGCTGAAGGACCCCTGGCCAGCATTGATTGCTCCAACATCGCGGAGGATTGACTGTCAGCTTGCCCTGCTTCATCCTTTCCTCTCAGGTCACATGGTACAACCTGTCATATATATCATGAGTAACGAGAAAGGTCCTAGCAGATAACAACTCCTCCTATTTTGTCTAAAGTACATGAAAAACAAAATTTTGCTAAAGCTAGTCTCCCATTTACTCCTTAAGGCAACCTCAACTCCTGTGTCGACCACTGATCATCTATATTATCCTCGTGATGCTTCTCCTTGAACCAATGGAAGATCAGTTTTTGTCCTTCAATCGTTGCAACTTTGCCTTGGGCTAATACCCTGTTGTGATATTTAGATAAGATGTCCTTTGCCCTTTCTGGATTAAGCTGAAGTTGCTTCTTTTTTCTTCTCCATAATGCCCTAATCTCTGTTTCCAACAAGTTATTTTTCAATTCTTCTTGAATGTTGAGTTTCCGCTGTTGTGCATATCTCAATCTGATTTCGAGTGAATTCCCTCTCCAAATCTACTTTGTCATCTTGGCATGTGTATGGAAACATGTAGATGCTCTGTAAAGAGCATGCATTCCATTGTCTCGAAAAAATTCTTCCGCATCCATACTACCTTTATTTACAGCAGCAGCCTAGCAATAGGTGCTGCAATGTAATTTAAACCACCAGTACCTCCGACAGTCACAGTGGGTGACGCCCCCTGCCACACTTGGATGAACGGGCCTGGACTAGAGCGCCCAAATTCATGCAAGGCTTCCACTTCAATTTTCCCCCCAACCGATATATGGCCGAGGTACTAGTGGTTTAATTAATTGAATTGGCGAAGGGATCAAGTGTTTGATTATTGCAGGCTATAGTCAAGATATTAGTCAAGATATTCACATGGCCCACTTCGTGGCCTTGGATACATCGTATGTATGTGTCTGACAAAGTGACTGGTGGGCTGGGCCGTTGGCCGTGGCTTTGAATTGAAAGCAGAATACGACCCGAAGACATAGTCTAAAAGACAAGGGGGGGCTAATATGAATGGATAATACTGGAGAAAGGCGCCTATTGATTGCGTTTCTATCAGTCACATAAAATCTATTCTGCTCCATCTTGTGTACTATTGGGGTAAAACTGTTTAATGGTTGGAATCACTCACTCACTTCAAGTGTGCTTTATTGTCTGCAATAGAGGTAATGCTGCATTGATTTTGGATCTACTCATCTGGGTGGAACAGGTGCTGTTATGGTGACAATCTAAGACACACACACACACACACACACACACACACACACACACACACACACACACACACACACACACACACACACACCATTTGATGCAGGGAGTGCAACCGTGATAATTGGATTCATGTTGTCATGACCTCCGAAATTGCAGACTGAGAAGCCCAAACATACTAAGAAAAAGAATCTGACCTGAACACTGAAATCTTAGCAAGTTAGTCAAACAAGCAACACTACTCGTAAAACAGCTGCATGATTGCTGATATGTGCTAGCCCGTCTGAATGATTGCGTATATGTGTGTGTGACCCGTTGGGGGTAGCCCATGTGCTGGAATGGCCCACGAGCCTGGTACTAACCTTTGGTCGTATGTGTGGGGTTGCAGTGGGGGAGTAGGGTAGAGTAGGCCCGCGAAGGCCAGAAATACTCACACAGCGGGTATAGGTAAGCAAAAAAGATTAAAAGTTATTACCTTGGGAGGCTGAGGGAGGCTCAGGGTTCGGTACCAGTCCAGTGGATCAGAGTCTAGAGCATGCCGAATGGGAATATCAGAATACACAAATGTTGTTCCCCCTGATAGTACGCGACGCCGGTACACTTGGGATTCCCCGCGACCTAATATTATCATTCGTGCGAAGTCCATAACTGTGTGACCTTTTGTACACAACTTGAGCATTATGTTACAAAAGGCCACACATCGTGGACTGCACCCTTTTTCCCACAAGGTGGGAGGAAGTCCACGACCGCGTGAGTTTTTTTGTGTACAACGTGACCACTATGTTCCGAAACGCCACATAGTCGTGGACTGCATCTTTTGTCGTGCAAGGTATGGGGAGGTCTTAAGGCCGTGTGGCGTTTTGTACACAACGTGAGCACTATGTTACAAACGGTTACACAGTCGTGGACTGCACCCTTTCTTCCACAAGGTGGCAGGAAGTCCATGACCATGTGACTTTTTGAAGACAGTGTGAGCACTATGTTCAATAGGGCAACACAGCCGTGAACTGCATCCTCTGTTCCACAAGGTGGGAAGAAGTCGACGACCATGTCGCCCTTTGTACACAAAAGGCCACGCAACTGTAGGTGCACGAATGTCACTTTTTGTACACAACAGGAGCACTATGTTTCGGAAGGCCACACAGTCGTGTGTGTCCTCTCTCCCAGAACTATGTATGTACTTTCGAAATGACCCCAATGTATCTGCTTTTGAAATGATCCCATCGATTTTTTGGCCGTCTTTTTTTTGTTGGCCAAATGTGAACGTTGTTTGTGGACAGGTGCGCTAAGCTTCTGTGGCACATGAGGCAACTGCACAATTTCATGCAAGTATGCCGACCGTTCGCTTGCGATCTCTTCGTGGCGAAAACCGTTCATTGAAGAGGACTTCTGTTTTCAGTTACATGGTCATCCAACACCTGCTATATCAAGTGGAGATGATGAGTGATAGACCTTGCCATGCAACTAACGTCATATCTTATCCATGCGCAATATCATAACTAGATATATTGTT